TGTACAATACTACAACATTTCCCTCACACTGATCTTATATGATTTTACAGTCAGGGTGGTGCTATTCTGTTTGCAGTAACACCAAGTTTAAGACAAATGCAAGTAATGAGTGTTAGATATTATCACCACTATGTACTAAACATCCGAACAGGCAGGCAAGTACCCTAACCTGGAAGTCAGAATTCTGGGAGCAACTAAGGTACACACATTTTAAAAATTCTTCAACCTGTCAATATTGTGGCCAATCAGCGCCAGTTCCAAATAACAGAGGCAATGAGCAAAGTAGCAGATAACTAAGATTTTGTGATGATGTCAGCGGCCCTGGGAAGCCTATAATATTGACAAATCTGCAACATTATTTAGGATGAGTGAAAATCCACTCAAGTACTTTTGCACCATTCTCAGGTGTCCTTTACAGTCCATTCAAAGCATTAAGTGTGGTCTTACAGCAACTCCCATTTCATGGCCCAATACTAGAAGAAACGGTTTAGGGTACTCCATATCTATTAGCCCCCAAAACTGTATGAAGCATGTCATGGTATCAGCTGAGTGGATGAAAAATGTTTGTTATACCATCTACCACCGAAATGATGGATTCTACTACCTTGCCCTGCAGAGCTTGCTTATAAAGGGCTCAGTGCATTCCTCTACCCAAAACATACTCTTTCACAGTGTCTATGGCATGATTCTTACCTCCCCCTCACCACACTTCACCCTAGGTAGCTTCTAATCCTGGAAGTTTGGGGAAGCTACGATTACCAAAAATTATCTTCCAGCCTGCCAAAAACTGATGTGGGAAGTATGTCAACTAGGGCTCGAAACAGAAGGAAGGCATCCAAGTGGATAGTATTGCCCAGCATGCCTCCAAGCACACAAGAACTATCCATATGGAAAGCTGGGAATCTACTATTTGGAAAATGAGATAATAGAGATCATCAGACTATACCCTGAAAGACAATCAGTCTGAGGGCAGATGAAGATCCCCCAATGTCACCTGCACTCACACCAATAGTTACTCATAGTCCAGGCCCCATTGCCCTCAGTTTATATCTACATAGCCATGAACATTCTACCATCTACTACTTGCCCAAAAATCAAGCCATCAAATTCAAATGACACTGGCTCCAGGAACTAGCCCCTGTCATTGCTGTAACCTGTGATGAGGCACAGATCAGCCCCCTGGTTCAGTTCAGGTTTCCAGGACTCTCTACTCTACTACCTCTCCAAGTCCTCAACTGTCTGTATACTGAGGGGATTGAAACAGTGTCCCACTCTGGCAGTGTCATTATCTCAAAGAATACTAAAGGACAGCTCCATAGGAGTGCAAATGGGAGGGAGGAGGGAAAGAGGGAGTGGGGCCAAGCTAGGAAGAAGGGGGAAAGCGGCAGCTAGGGAATAACTCTAGAAAGGAAGAGGAATCCCCATCCTCCACCAGAGGTGAGGCAGCGGTTTCAACAATTTCCAGAGAGAATGGCCAACTTCCAGCAGAACATGAATTTATTAGAAGAATATTAGTGGGGTTATATTGAACTAAAAAGCTTCTGCATAGCAAATGAAGCAACAAAATGAAAATACAACCTGCAGATGAGAGAGAATATTTGCAAGAGAACATTTGATAAAGGGTTGATAACCAAAATATATAACTCTTGTAACTCAATAACAAAAAAAAACAAAAAAAAAATCTGGTTAAAAATGGACAAAGGAACTGAAAAGACATTTCTCCAAAGAAGACACACAAATGGCCAACAGGCATATTAAATGATACTCAACATGATTAATCATCAGGAAAATGCAAACTGAAAACATGGTGAGATAATACCTCATACATGTTCAAAGTGGTTAGTGTATTTAAAAAAAGAAAGAAAAAGGTAAGTGTTGGTGAAGACGCGGAGAAAAGGAAACCCTCATGCACTGTTGGTGGGAATGTAAATTGGTGCAGCCAATATGGGAAACAGTATGGAAGTTCCTCCAAAGAATTAAAAATAGAACTATTTTTAATAGTAGATCCAGCAGTTCTGGTTCTGGATATATATCCAAAGGAATTGAAATAAGGATCTCAAATTGATATCTAACTCCCATCTTCATTGCATTATTCACAATCCCAAGACATGGAAGCAACATAAATGTCCATAATGCATGGATAAAGAAAATGTAGTATACGTATACAGTGGAAATCCTGCCATTTGCAACAATGTGGATTAACCTGGAAGACATTATGTTGAATGAAATAAGCCACACATGGAAGGATACTACATGATTCCACTTATATGAGGAATCTAAAATAATGAACTCATAGGAGCAGAGAATAGAATGGTGGTTGCCAGTTGCAAGAGGGAAGGATGAAGGTGGAGACAGCAGTCAAAGAGTACAAGTTTCAGTTATACAAGGAAAGTCTGGAGATTTACTCCACAGCATAGAGCATATACTTAATACTGTATTACATACTTAAAAATTTGCTAAGAGGGTAAATCTTGTTAAATGTTCTTAGCACAAAATAATAACAATAAAGAGGGTGGAAGACAATCTCTGGAAGGGATGGATGTTTATGGTATAGATTGTAGTGATGGTTTCACAGGTGTGCACTTATCTCCAAACTCATGAAGTTGTACATATTAAATACATGTACATATTAAATATGTACAACTTTTTATGTCAATTATATAATAAAGTAGTTTAGTTGTAGAAGGAACAGAGAAACAAGCTTCATGAATAGTAACCAGAAACTTCGTTAAGAATCATACTGCAGACCTGGTTGGGCAGAGACACCACGGCATTCAATGCGAGGGCAGGCGCTGCTGGCACCGAGGATGCTGGGCCCTGCATAATGCTCTAGAAACAAGTATAGCTTCGCAGTTGCAACTTCCCATCAACAGAAAAATACTTTACATGTCCCTGCTTCTTTGCAGTCTCATCTTTGATTCAAAAGCTGGAACAGATGTATTTGATTGGCCTAGCCAAATTCTTTACCCATGCCTAGCTGCAAGAAAAGCTAAGTATCTTAGTCCAGCGATTTTCAACCTTTTTCATCCCATGGCACACATAAACTAATTACAAAGGTTCTGTGGCACACAAAAAAACTTTTGCCAATCTGACAAAAATAGGTATAATTTTGATTCATTCACACCAGACAGTGTTGTGTTGGCTATTGCCATTCTTTTTATTTGATAATCTAAGGCAAAAAGAGGTCAGTGCCCCTGACTAAATAGTTAGGTATTCCATGTTTTAAAAATTCTTGCAGCATACAACTTGAAAATCACTGTCCTAGCCTACTATAGCGAAATACCGTAGACTGGGTGGCTTACAAACAACAGAAATCTCTCACAGTTCTGGAGGCTGAAATCCAAGATCAGGGTGCCAGCATGGTCGGATGAGGACCCTCTTCTAGGTCGCAGACTTCCCTTTGTGCCCTCACATTGAGGAAGGGGTAAGGGAGATCTCTCAGGCCTCTTATTTAATTCTTAACTGAATTTATTGGGGTGATATTGGTTAATAAAATTATATAGGTTTCAGGTGTACAATCCTGTAACACATCATCTGTATATTGAATTGTGTGTTCACCACCTCAATTCCAAGTCTCCTTCCATCACCATTTATCCCCCCTATACTCTCTTCTACATTCCCCCACCCCCCTTCCCCTCTGGTGATCACCATGCTGTTGTCCATGAGTTGTGTTTTTTTCTTACTCCTCTCACTTTTTTCACCCAGTCCCACAACTCCCCCTCTCCTCTGACAGCTGTCAGTCTGTTCTCTATGAGTCTGTTTCTATTTTGTTAGTTCATTTTGTTCATTAGCTTCCACAAATGAGTGAAATTGTATGGTACTTATCTTTCTCTGACTTATTTCACTTAGAATATTGCTCTCCGGGTGGGTCCAATCATGCTGTCACAAAGTGTAAAATTTCCTTTTTTTTATGGTCTCAGGCCTCTTTTATTTTTTTATTATTTTAATCCTCACCTGAGGGCATGCTTATTGATTTTAGAGCATGAGGAATGGAGGGAGAGAAACATCAATTGATTGCCTCTTATAATGTGCCCCAACAGGGGACTGTGGACTGACCTGCAAACTAGGCACGTGCCCTGACCTGGAATCAAATCCACCACCTTTCAGTTTACAGGTCACTGCTTCAACGAACAGAGCCGCACAGGGCCAGGGGTTAGACCTCTTTTGTAAGGGCACTAATCCCATTGATGAGGGCTCTGCCATCATGACTTAATCACCTCCCAAAGCCCCCACCTCCAAATACCATCACCTTAGGCATTAAGTTTTCAACATATGAATTTGGGGGAGGACATAAACATTCAGACCATAGCACTGGGTAAGGAAGATGTGGATTTTCCTCAGAGGGGATTCCCAAACCCTCAAAAGAATAGTAGATCTACACTGCACTACTCTTCCCTACCACACCCTGCCCTGCCCTGCCCTGCCCTACACTACACTAAGCCCATTCCCTACTGCTCTCCACTTCCCCCTGCACTAATCAGGCTCCAAATCAACAGCAAGCTGAGTCCTCCCTCATGCTTCTAACACTTGCTATCTTGCTGCCTGAATTGCTCTTCCTGATACTACCATGTTCCACTTCTTCTTAACCTCTAACACTTATAGCTCAAACACAACTTCCCCTATTAGGCCAATTAAAGCTCTACAAATATGCCAGTCCCAGAAAAGGAGTGTCTATCTAACAACACGTCTTTTTTTTTAATCCTACACCAATCCTAAGTATCTGTCTATATCTTAATGCCAGCAGGAGGCCACTCAAAACCCAGGAGTCAGGGAGGACTAAGAGGAGTGGTGAAGGAGGTCTCTTGATCAGTGGGTTCTCCCTCCCTTCCCTCTGTCACAGACATTGTGATTGGACTCCTGAGATCCCAAGAATCAAAAATCAGACTTGAGTGGCTAGGAGAGTTCCCCGCCATATGCCTGATTGGCATGAACACTAGAGACTCAGAGAATCAAATAGCCCCATTTGTCAAGTACTCAGTTCAGGTCTGCTGTCATTTCAGACCATAAGGAACTGGTGTCCATGAGGCTTCCCCCAATTAACTCAGAAGATGGGAATTATTCTGTGCACCAGAATAGCCATACAAGGTACCACACAGCTGTCAGGAAGATGTTGTTAAAGACATGTAAGTATCTTTGAGGGGTTTCTGTCTGAGTTCTAAATAATGGCTGGAATGAGGTGGGGCATGGTTCTGGGACAGAAAAAAAGAGCCAAGAAAAGAGACTGAGAAGACAAGGGAGAAAGTAGATCTGAGTGGTGGAGTGAGCAAGATAAAAGTTGAACCAGACTTGGAAGCACAAAATCCAGGTTTGAGTCCAGTTCTGCCTCTTTTAAATATTACTTATCTTTAATTAATCTGCTTCCTCATCCATTAAAAAAACAAAAACAAAAAAAACAAGCCCTGGCCTGGTGGCTCAGTTGGTCAGAGCATCGTCCAGATATGCCAAGGTTGCCAATTCAATGCCTGGTCAGGGTACATACAAGCAGCAACCAATGAATACCTAAATAAGTGGAACAACATATCAATGTTTCTCTCTCTTTCACCGTCCCTCCCTCCTTTCCTCCCTTTCTCTCTTTGACTCTAAAATTTTTAAATGCTGGGAAGAAAGAAAAAAAAGAAAAAAGGAACAGAAAATGCCTGCTCTACCAATCTTACAGAATTGTTATGAGGATCAAACCAAAATGAGACAACTTAGGAAAGTACTTGTGTATTATTATGTGCTATGCCTGTGAGGAGTGGTAGACCAAGTACTAGCTTAGGAATTTAAACTGAGTTTAAGTTCAAACAAGTCATGTGACCTTAAGAAAGTTCCTTTAAACACTTACCTGCTCTGGACCATCTGGAAATGGGAATAATACTCTAGCATTGCATGAAAGTTAGAGAAAATGTACATTTTAAAAAGCATTTAGGACAAACTACTGATATGATAATTTATAGGCATCTCCAGGAATTATGCTATATAAAGAAAGCCAATCTCTAAAAGATCACATACTGTATGGTGCTGATTATATAGCATTCTTTTTTTTTTTTTTCAATATGGGCTGCTTCACAGATTTGTGTCATCCTTGCTAATCATCTCTGTATTGTTCCAATTTGAGTATATGTGTGCTGCCAAAGCAAGCACTATAACATTCTCAAGAAAACAAATTATGGAAATGAAGAAATGATTATTGATTACTAAGTGCAGGGGTTAGGGGTCGGAGGAAGTAGCTATAAAAAACTCCAGGATCATGTAGTGATGGAGCTGTTCTCTAACAGTATGTTAATACCATGGCTGTAATATCGTGCAGTAGTTTTCCAGGATGTCACCATTAGGGGGAAATGGGCGAAGGCACATGGGACCTCTGTGTATCATGTCTTATAACTGTGTGTGAATCTATAATTATCTCAAAATTAAAGTTTAATTTAAAAAACCATAATGCTTTCATAAAATAAAGAAGACATACATGAAGAAGTATCTAAGAGTTATTTCTAATAGCAAAACTTTTTAAAAGCTTATTATTGATTAATAGGAAAACGACTAAATCAAAAGTGGTATATTAGGGATTTTTAAAATGTTGACTATAAAGACTATACGCCCAGATTATTAGGCTTTATTTCTAAATTTTTTAAATATAGAAATTTTATACAGTGGTATAATTACTTTACCCAAATAGTGAAAATACAAAAAAAATAAGTCTGATAGCCTTTCAAAATTTTAAGAACATCTCTAATTCATTTAGAAAATGATAGATACTTGATAAATATCTATAAACAGTACGTAAACATGAGGTAGTTATGTTTGCTAAGTTTCAGAGATTTGACTGAACAAAGGAGGGAAGTATGTCAGAGAGAAGGGATGGCAATGAGGATAATTAAGCCTGCATTAAAAGAAAAAGAACCTGTGGACCCATCTTGCACATTTCCCAAGTTGAGTTGATCACTTCTTTTCCACACTCTTAGCACTTGGGGAAAGCTCTCTTGGAGACAGCCTTAGTAGCAGCAGGAAGAACAAAAACTGATTCAACTTGACCATGAAGGGTGTGAGATGCTGGAATCCGGAAGTAAAGCTGGGTGTGGTGACCAAATTCTTAGGGCTTCTCAGCACCTGGTCAGGCCCAGTTGCTAGGCTGAGCTTTTGCTGCCCTGAGGCACAAAAAGGAGTAGAGAACTAAAAGAAATTGGATAACCTGTTCTTCCCCAAAACTTTCAGTCCCCAATCAAGTCTTCAGAGTCCCCTTGACTGATGCTCAGAACTTCAGCTTCTGGAGGTCCCACGATCCAGGAGTGCGCCCAGAGGAAACCATGCCATGGATCCGGGGCCCTCGCCACTGCCTCATTAAAAGCCCGATGACCAGGTTAGGTTGGGAGGGGTGAAATGGGGAGACCAAGGGAAATACTCCCTCCCCTCACTTAAATTCTTACAGACTGTTTCATCTCTACTCAGAGTTAGGGAATAGAAGAAGTGGTTTGGGTCTTACCAGTGAAAGCTGACCCCAGAAATTGGGCAGCGGTAACACATTCAAAGGAGTTACAGATTTGTATGTCTGTGTTTCGCCTTGTGGATATGACTTCTCAGCAGGCACAAATGTCTATAGCATTCCTGTGGGACCCGAGGAGTGTGTGTTCCCTTCCTTGCTGCCTGCCCACCCTCCAGCCGCCATCCATGGGAGTAGCCCTACGTCCCCGACACTACCCATGCCCATTCTGCCCGAAGGCAGTCTCAGGAGCTATGTCTACAGATCCCCACCACACAGACACATGCACGCACGCATTCCAGCCTGGTCTGGCTGAATCTGAAACCTTCTCTTTTTTCAGGCTTATGGACCACTCTATCCTCAATGACAGAATCTTCCGTCTGTATTTGAGCAGGATGTGTTTGCGGAAGGACAGGATAGGCTGTGGAAGAAGGACAAAGAAGGGGAAAGAGGAAGAAAGTGTGCTGGTTCCGATGGCTGACTAATGGGAGGAGGGGATTGAAAAAGCAGAGTAAACATTAGATTGGACTAAAAGTCACTTGTATGCACTGAAAGTGAGGGCGAGCGAAATTATCCCAATGCCCAAATTCCTGTGAGATCAGGTATGTGAGAGGCTCCTGAAGCAGCCAGAACTTGACGTTTGCTTTGGGAGGGGCCAGGGCACCAGAAAGATCACCACGGGGGCTCCTAACCTTGTGTGTGGAAGAGGCCAGAGTAACAAATCTAGGAAGGCACACTGATGGATCTGCACGATGCTGAAGGGCCTGGTGTAGTTAAGCTCTCTGAAGACACTGCAGCTTCACCTTGGCAGGGAGAAAACCAAAGGAAGCCCTCTGACCACGGATGAGAGGGGTCCGCCAAGCCCTCAGGCAGGAGGCTGCCTCCTACACCAGGCTCTGCCAATTCTGACCAAACCCAGGGCCCAGAAGAGCTGCAGAGAACAGGGAATTTTACAAAGAGTTTGATTTTATTGATATTTAAATATATTAAATATTTCACTGAAATACATGGTACATTACCCTCCCCATTCCCTCAGTGGTTACAGTATAAAACCAAGTCCCTGGGCCTCCCATCCACTAATTTCCCCACCAACTAGTGAGGAAGGGGACAATGGTAGCCCGGGGGAAGAGCATGGCTGGCACTGTGGTGTGGGAAGCCAGGTGTGGGCAGGCCCTTCCCACCTAGCAAGAGGCAGAGACAAGACACCCATATTGAAGTCTTCCCACTCTGGTCTCTCTATACCCTCACCCTGCCCCATGGCTCCAAGCAGTCGCTTCCTATCCAGGGACATGGCTAGTGGGAGGGAAGCTGATTTTCTGTCTGGACCAACTAGTCTTTTCCCCTCCGCCTGCCTCGTCTAATGAAGTGCCTAAAGGCTTGTTTGGCTGATGCATGAAGATTTCCAAGGCAGGCAGTTCAAACCAGAAACCAGGCCTCTACCAGGAGGTACAGTCAGAAAGGGCATAAGGAAAGAGAAGAGTGCCACCTTCTCCTCCCAACCCAGCAACTCTGGGACCCTCTTTTCTCTGCCTCTAATCACCTCCAAGACAAAGCAACCTTCAAGCAAAATTCAGGCTAATGACTCTGTCTTAAATAGGTACAGACAGAGAAACCAAGGCACCAGCTAATTCGGGCCAGAGGAAAGGAGGTTGCTGGGAAAAGGATAAAAAGAAGGCAAAGACAGGAAGGGAATCTAGAGACCAGCCTCCTGCCAGCCCTTTAAGGATTCATGGGAATTGGGGAGCGAGGAACATGCTAGACTCGGGCTTAAGGTTGGGGAAGGCCAACTTTCAGGTTCCCCTGCCCCACCCCTTAGTACCAGTATCTGGGTCCTCAGAGGGATCCCACGCTACCCGAGTCCCAAAGCACACCACATCCCAGGACACAAGCTGGGGAACCCAGGAAATTCCTGAGTCTCTGCCCACCAAACCCCAGACAGTGTAGGCTTGGTCCCTAGCCCAGGCAGGGAGACAGTCATGCTGCACACATGGCCCCCAAATGGCACTTAGGGATTTGGCACATAAAGGACTTCTCTCCCCAGAGACCCCTCCTCTTGCTACAACACCGAATCCCACTGCTGTGCAACCTGGGCATCTCTCTCCATCCCTTGAAACCAGAAACCTGCCTTATTCCCAGAAGACAGAGGCCCACAGGAGAGAGGCAGCCTGGGGTGGAGAGCTGAAGACCAGGAGCACAAGGACACACAGCCCCAGAAAACAGACACACACAAGAAGACCAACATGCACACACACTGCACAGACACACAGGCCCTCCCCAGTACCAAAGGCTTGGGAGGACAGGTTTGGGATCAGGATCATCTTCCTCCATGCCCTGGCCATTTGCTAATTTGGCAACAAAAGGGGTAGAGATGCTCCATACCCCTTGCCAGCAGACCACAAGAGAACACTGGGGCAGAGTGACCAGATCCTGACCATCGGGCCCCTCAGACCAGAGTCTGGTCCCACCGCTCTCCCCGCCTAGCCTGCTCTCTTTGGCACCTGCCAGTGAACTTCCAGCTCCTGATCAGACACCCCTACACAAATGCCTGCTGTCTGGCTGGGCATTTTCACAGTACCAATGAAGCCAGATGCCCCTTTCCCTGGCGTTTTGCAGGAACTGGGGCTAAGTCTGAGCTGTCAGAAGTCCCTTTGTTCCCCTTTGGGGACAGATCCTGGGACTAGGATTTGGCAAATGGAAACATTCCCCTGAAATATGGACAGAGCTGGGACCCGAGCGCATCTCTCTGCTCTGTGCCTAGGACGGAGACTTGGCTGGGGCTGGGGGTCCCCAGGACCATGCTGGAGATTCAGGCATAGCAAAGGCAAGCATGGAATAGGCACTCTTCACACCTACCCCAGTCTTTGTACAAAATATTCCCAGGAAAAAGGGAAAGGAAGGGCCCAGCCCTGAGCCTGTTGCCCAGACAGGGGAAGGGTAGGCATAGCAAGCTGCCATTCTCATCTTTCAGGCGGGAGGGCTCCCACTGCCTCTGCTGCCCCCTTCCCCACTCCCAAAAGCTGGAAGAAGAGAGGGGCCAGCCTTGCCCCAACTTAAAAAGAAAGTCACTTGCAAAACCCTTTTTGGTAACCCCTCGTTCTCCAGTCTGAGGGAGACAAGCATGGTCCCAGCACAGCCTGCTGGGATGTTCCCTTTTGTGGATAGGGCCTTGAGGCTCAGTGTCCCCTACCACAGCTCCACCCAGCGAGCACAGAGTCCACTCAAATGCCCACCTTGGTCCCTTCAGCTAAATTTGTAGCTGGGCCCTGTTAACTGCAAGGGCCTCCATTGAGAAAGTAGGTGGTCATCTCCCCCTTGCCCTTCACCTTGACCACCCCTCGACACTCCAGCTGGTAGCCCTTGGCAGCTAGAACCTGGTACAGGTCCGTGGTCACCTAGGGGGGGTGGGAAGGGAGACCACTTAGCCTGGGATCCTTCCTGCTGCATTTGCAGGGGCCCAGGGGTCCTCCCATCCCCTAGCTGCCCTCCCCCAATCCCCACCCCACCAAACACAGCACATCGCCACCCTATCCCCGTCTGAACAAATGCAGAAAGGGACGTACAGAAGCCCTCTGGACCCATACCCATCCCAGCCTCTGCTTACATTCCCCTCACCTGGATTCGGTCAGGAACCCCCGTGCTGTCCATCCGGCTAGAGACATTCACTGTGTTCCCCCAGATGTCGTACTGCGGCTTCCGAGCCCCAATGACACCTGCCACGACTGGGCCCATGTTCAGTCCTGGGGTAGAGAGAGCAGTAAGGCACTGAGACGACCGGTTGTTCTAGTCAGCCTGGGGTGTCATCCCACCTCCTGGCACCTTTAGAAGAACCCAGAGAAAAAAGTGGCAAAAGGACAAGTGTCCTGGTTGTAAAGAATGGTCCAGTCGTCAGTTGAGGAGCTCCCAAGTCAAGGCAGCTCTACTGTAACAGCAGCTAACCAACTGAATGCACACTCTGAGCCAACCACTCTGATAAGCATTTCCATTAGTATTTCATCCTCTCGACAGCCCTAGAAGATAGGTATTATTATCCCCATTTTGCAGGTAAGGCAAGTGAAGCTAAGAGAAGTGAGGTGGCTTATTAAATAAGCCAGGAAGTGGAACATCCAGAATTCAAACCATACAATCTGACTCCAAAACCCGTGCTATTAACCACTCCCATCCTTAGTTCACCTGAGAGGCGGCGCCTCTTACCAGACTGGCAGACAGGTGCTGTGGTTGACGTAAACCTGGTTTAGAATCCCAGTTGAACCACTTCCTAGTTATTTAATCTCTGAGAGTCAGTTTATTAAAAGGGGACAATAATGTGAGTATTAAAATGTGCTCACAAATGTCTAGAACAGTGCCTAACACATAGCTGGTCCTCAGTGAATGATCTGACCTTATCATATAAGACAATACAGTGAGAGAAAGGAAACCCGTACGGGTCCTGATGGGGAATGTGTGCTGCTGTCCTCCTGCTCCCTGGTCTTCCTCCAGAGACAGCCCTGGGAAAAGCCTCTAGGCAACTAGGCCCCCTCACCAATCTTCATCTGGAAATTGTTGAAGGAGTGCTCATTGATGTACTTCATCTGCTCCATGAGCCGCATGGCGTAGTCGGCGAGGGCAGTGATGTGGGAGCGGCCCGCCTGATCATAGGTGCTGGCGTTCAGCCCGGAGGCAGCCATGTAGGTGCTACCAATCGTCTTGATCTTCTCCAGCTGCCGGAACCGCTCCTCACTGATGATCTGGACAGCAGAGGCGGGGGGGGGGAGTGAAGGGGGGAACACCCCGCTGTCAAGGCAAAGAGGCAAAACCCGGCCCCACCCCAGGGCTCATCCCTGCCATGTCCTGGCCCACTCCCCACTGCCCTGTCTCAACAGCTCCCCTCCTTTTAGTGAGGGAGTCTCTCGCCAGCTGCTGCTCTCAGTGCAGGACTAAGAAGCCAGGAAAACAGGCCTCCTTCACCAGGCAACCACCAGAAGCCAGGCCAGGGCTCAGCAAAGAGCTTCAGGTCAACCCATCAGCTCACTCACAGAATCCAGAACCACAGAAGGGATATTGAGCATCAGTTAGCCCAATCCTCACCTTTTAGTAAACTGAGTGCCAGCGTGAGGAAGTGCCTCCCCTCCGGAACAGTGGAAAGCCCATTCCTGGCCCGGACGTTCAGGACACTTCCTTACATTTTGCTTCTACTTCCTGTACTCAAGGGGACCATCTTGCTTACTTGGCCTCATGGGGCTCTGTCCACAGACTCTTGCCTTCTTCAGTGACATTCACCTGGTACCTACCCTGTCCCCTTCAGATCCTCTTGTTCTCTTTTGCTCCCCAACTATGATAACCCAGCCCCACTGGGGCTCACCTCCTTGCTGCCTCCCTCCCTTCTCCACCAACCCCCTCCAATCCTGGCCTTCTCAGCCAAAGTTCTCCCCACTCTGCCAGCACCAGCTGACTGGACAAGTACCTCATCAAAGTCAGCGATGATCTCGTTGAGCAGCCGCAGGCACTC